TCATGGAGTACATATGTAGACCACAAATGTATTGAGCATCTGTATTTCTACAATGATTCACAGTTCCTGCACCAAAGAGATTGGGTCAAAGTATAGAGAATATGAGACTCCAGCGGGAAAAAACGTCCTTGTTACACTTACTAGCTAACATTTATTATGCGCCAAGTATGATTCATTTTTTAAATGTACAGTAATTGGTATTACACTAAAGAACCGAACTGGGAATGCTATTTAACCTGATCTTTATTCACTTATTCTTAGAAAATTCTTGTCACGCTCCTCCCTGAAAAGCAGAACTTAATGCCAAGATCCTTGTGCAGATCAACATAGTTATGAGGTGTTGATGGCTTCCTTCTCCCTTAGCATTTTTTTATTTTTATACACTAATTCTTCAAAATTTTCTTTCCTATATTTTCTTATTTCACTTTCTCTTGGCACAATTGCAAAGTAGTCATTTTTCTTTGTGTTTTACTCTCCTCTTTTGGGATGCACATGCCGAGTCATTTCTGAGGGCAGTATTCCTTCCTCCAGCAAAGCTTCCTGGCCCCAAATTGGGGTATTCACAAGTTCTGTGCTGGTTTATATTCAGGACAGAATCTTCCTTGGTGGTTTTCTTCATACATGTCAGAGTGAACATGTGTTAGCAATAGAGGTAGAAAACCAGACGGAAGACAGGAGGGGCTGCTCCTCAACATGCTTTTCCTTCATGGTAGAACTCTGGGCCTTTGGTGTGGGTTTGTCTTCTAGATGGAAAAATGACCATTTGAACCTATAACCACTGAATGCAGTAGCTGAACATGTGGGGGTCTGAAGGCATTAAGGAGCGCAGAGGTGACTTGCAATGGGCAGCAGCAACGAATTCATCACCTACACTGCAAGCAGGATTTATTTTTGCTCTCACTTGTACAGCAATCCTGATTTCCATTTTAATATTTAGAAGGTAAGTTTAGTTGATGGACACTTTGTGTAATAAAAGGCTCTTTTAAAAGTACGTGCACACACACACGCACACAGGATAGAGTGTTCAGCCAGTGCCCATGGCTCTCATGGAGTACATTTGTGGAGCACAAGCTTAGTCCTGGATATGTTTATAGCACTTTAGCTCTGTTTGTGAGTTTGGAACCCTTCCAATAAAAGAAGAGAAAGACATATATTATTGTTTATAATCTGCTTTATTCCGCCAAACCTTGACTGAACAGACTTGTGGATTGCTGTTTAAATCCCTCAGTGCCTTTAACTACCGATACAGAAAGTGGTTAATGTGCATTCTGTACGAAGCTTGGCGTCCACTCCAGGAAATCACTTTAATTGAGAAGCATTAAATGTTAAAATGATTTTTTTTAAAAGCCAGCACATATATTGACTATAAAAGTCCTGGCCCACCATAATATAGTTTCTTGTTTATCGTATGATTCCAGCCTGGTAAGCTTTAAGCCCTGCAGTTGACAGGTGTCGAAAAAGTGACTTTAATTCCCTAGGTCACTATCTGCAGGCAGCCACCCATCAGCTGGCCAGAGAGCAGGCAGCCTTGAAGGACTCCACTTGGGAGGAGGGGAGGAAGCTGTCAACTTTATGGATGTTTGTTTTTCTGCAATAATAAACTAGTCCCAGGTGACTAAAATATGAGATTTAACCCCAAAGTCCTTGCCTGGGCTTTCCATTGCTGTGCAGAAGCCATCTGTTGAAACCTATTTACCATTTTAATGGCCTTAAAAAAAAAAATCCTGCTTATTTCCAACTGCAAGTGTGTGCCAGTACCTCTTTTGGGGGGGGACTATATTTTATCTTTCATAGTTTAGTAGTTTCCAGCTTTACCCAAATCCCCACACCCCTCCCAACCACAGAAGATCCTAGACCAGGTTTGGTAAGCAAGAGGAAGATAAGAAGGGAGGGGAGACAGAAATAGGAAAGACGTGGAGTGAATCTGACTTAACTTTCCTGTGTACATATATAAATGCGCCACCATGGATCTCCACATCATGTACAGCACAAGACTGGGATTCTAATTAGAGTAAGATGTACTCCGTGTTTGTATAAATATGTCAAAATATATTCTACTGTCATGTGCAACTAAAAAGAACAAATAAAAAATGTTTTAAAAAGAAAAGTCTTTTAAACCTGCCTCTAGAGACAACTCAACCTCTATCAGACTATTAAGCTCTGGCTGGTCCAGCAGCCCACTGAGCAGTCCAGAGGGTCAGTCAGGAGAGTCCCGTGGAGACCTTATCTCCTAGGAGTCCCTTCCATGGGGAAATTTGTATCCTGTCAGGTACAGTCTGTAGCTTGTCCCGTTAATCTCAAAGTTAAAAGACAGTTTGCACACTCTATCTGAATTGAATTATTGTATTTGGGGAGATGGCCAAAGGAAAAACCACCAAGAGGAAAGCATTCTGAAGGACAATCCTGACATCTCATTGGCAGAAATAAGAAAATGAAGGAAAAGGTCCTAAAGAGGCAACTGTTACATGCAAAATCCCACAAGTGCTTTCTCTAAAATGACGTGATATATTCTTCCTAGAGCAGGGGCCAATCATTTTAAAAAATCTTTACTTAATAGTTCAGATGGTATATTTTTATGACTCCTTTTAGAAGGATGATAAAAATTTCCCCCTTCCTAATGATTTGGCCCCATTTGATAAACATTGGTTTTCCCCTCCTAACTCAGAGGATTTCTGCAACAGCAATAACTGAACACTTTACCTCCCTGCAGCAGCCATAGTCCAAATAATCATCTAAGCTGAGCTTAATCACCACTGTGGGCACAGGCAGGCAAAGGACTTTATGAAGAAAGGCACCAGGAATCCTGGATGATCAAGCTGAAATGGCATTCTGCTAAGGAAGTGTGGCAAAGGGATTGAACAATTCTCATTTTAGACTGTGAGGGACAGTTTTTAAACCGTATCTCAAGTATCAAAACTAAAGAAATGGATGTTGAGGATCATCTCTTATGGGTAGCAGTCGGTTAAAATTCACAACATTGCTGTGGTCTCTTATTGTTATTTTGTGATTTTAGCAAGTAGAATTGTGGGCCCAAAGAGAAAGAAGGTTGGAGAGCAGTGGAAACTGACTGTCGGCCTCCATTTTTCCCCCAGTGGGTCTTATTTAATGCTTTCTGGCCAGTGACTTCTTTTCTTTATAATTCGTTAAGCAGCTGTTTTTCTAGAAAGCCACTGTCAGAAAGAGAGACTACACAGGAGCTGCTCTCCTGCGACTAAACAAAAAAGAAAAACCCGATCCTGTCCTTTGTGAGCTGAGGATAGTTTTAATAGTTGTGAGGCTGGCATCCTGGTGGGAGCCACGTCCCTACAGCATGAAGTGGAAATGGTCCCATGGCTATGGGCCAGCTGTCCTCAAAACAGTTGACAGTGTGCTGAAAGCAAAGACTCAGTGCAGACAGGCTGGTGACGTGGGGTTTGAGAATGGAAGGAAGGTGAACTGGTCTGCCCAAGACATGGTGTCTGCTGCATACTCTGACCCAAAGTCTCCCCTCGCCCATTATTAGTATGTCAGGAATACTCAGACAAGTAGCTGAGTGTGAAGCCACAGAACCTTTCACAGACATGTTGAGAATTGCCCTAATGTCCACTCAAAGGACTGGGCAGAGAAGAAAACAGTCTTAGGGCCAGTATCCCAGCCAACCCTTCTCCCACAGTGACCTTGTCTCCTTGCTGCATAACCCAGTGTGGTCTTTTTTACCTTCCTCAACCTAGTAAAGTACTCAGCACACAGGTAAGTTTGGCCAAGGACACCAAATCTTGTTGGCAGAGCTTTGAGTCTCCACTGAAGACTTTGGGGCCCAAAGTGTGTCTGGGACCCCGGTTAAGTCACAGTAATCCCATGGCAGCACTGGTCAGAGAACAGGCACAGAGCGCAGCCTGCTGCAAATACCTAGCAAGTCACTATGGAGTGCTCCCCTCCCCCGCCCTTCTGCCCAAGAAAGAAGGAAAAAACAAAGAGAAGGCGGATGGGGGATGCCCCACACAAAATAAGATGGTGAAGATGTTGCCACTGCCAGCGTTTGAGGAGCCTCAGGGTGCCTCACTCCAGGTCCTCCAGGATAGCCAGGAAGTATACATGTAATCAGTGAGTTTTGCTGCCCATCCTCCCTAGGCGGACTCTGTCAGCACCTTGCATGCAGAACTTTCTGCAGTGATAGAAATGTTTATGCCTGTGTTGTCCAAATACAGAAGCCACTAGCCACAAATAGCTCTTGAGCAGTTGGAATGCAACTAGTGTGAGGAACTACACTTGTTTGTTTTAATTAAAAAATATTTTCTTTCCATTCCAGCTAAACTTCAGGGCCTGCACATTAACACACCTCATGCAGAGAGGAAACCAGGATGGAGATTTTCCTAAAAAGCATTTGTCTAGGAGCCTTGATGACTCTGATTGAGGTGTTTCTGTCCTGTCCCCTCAGCCAAATACAGAAATGTGCACATCCTTTCTCTAGAGGAAATAATTGTAAGTGTGAAGGACTTTAAAATGTAACAGAACAAGGCCGAGCCTGGTGGGGCACACTGGTAATCCCAGGGGCTCGGGAGGTCTCAGGCAAGAGAATCTCAAGTTCAAAGCAACTTAGCAAGGTCCCAAGCAGCTCAGTGAGACCCTGTCTCTAAGCAAAATACAAAGAAAAAGGGGAAGGGCTGGGGATGTGGCTCAGTGGTTGAGAGCCCCTGGGTTCAACCCCCAGAACCAAAAAAGTAACCAAACAATAACTGAAAGTTATGTGGCCAACATTTTCTTTTTCTTCCAACTCCCTAAATTTAGGGGCAGAAGGAGTTGCTGTTAGATAATCATAGAACCTCCTCTATCAATCCTTTATTGAGTAGTTCTTTATTAAGTGGTTCTGCTTAGAGGGCTGTTAGCAGTCCCAGAGTTCAGAGTTGTCTCTCTGGTTTCCTTCTGGTGATGAAAGTTCCTCCTGTGCCTCAGCTTTCCATTCCATTTATGTCAAGAGGGGAAACGGCCAGAAAACCAAATCAAAATCAAGACACATCAGCTTCTAAAGAATTTCCATGTTTATTTTACACAGTTTTACCGTACACATCTCATGCCAACACACAGGAGGCAATATACAGACAAACGCACCAGCTTCTGCTCTCCAAAGTCACATGGCAATAAATAAGGATGGGTGGGTCCTTTTTTTTTTTTTTCTTTTTCTTTTTTATTTTTTCCGGGAAACGAGACTTCATTTCTTTTTAACTGTACAAAATTTACACTGCGAAGGATGAGGGCAACAATCCAGAGCTCAGGGACCTGGGGCTTTGAGGGCTGAATGTGCACTCGGAGCGGCTTCTGGGGTTCTGTGGCCCTGAACCTGCTCCTTAGGCTGAACACAGTCCTCAAGTGGGAAAGTACAATGTGATCCTTGTCTCTAGGTGAGCAACAGGTGAAAGTGGGAGTGTCCTTGCTCCGTCCACCTGTGCTCTGCCTCCCTAAGCAAAGGAATGCTTGGTGCACCTCCAAACCTGCAGCTGTCTCCTCACCAGAGCTAGCAGCATGAAACTGTGCTTTTAGTGTGGTCCTACCAAGCAGAGTGTGGATGGGATGACTTGGCTGAGCTCTCTCTTTTTGGCTCCAGTCACCGTGTTAGAGCAGTTGGAGCAACTACTGCCAAAAGGGCCAACTGACCAATCCAAGAAAAGAGAGAGCCAGTGATGTGCTTTTATTTAGCTTTCAGCATGCCCAGAGCCCTTCAGCAGCAGGCAATAAAACAAAACTCATTTCCGCTTAATTGAATTTCTCTTCATCTCATGGTTTCCAATTTTTAAAGTGCAATGTTTAAAAATGAGCCTCCTCAGGCTATCTGGGCCCTGCTGGCTGAAGAGGTGTGGCCATCGTTCCATGGCTGTAACCTGGGTGTCAGTGGGGCGTGCTGGGAAGGCTGTGTGGTGGTCAGGGGGCAGGTAATGGACTGTCACACAGCACACAGCCTTGGCTCATCAGAAGCCTCGAGCCACCTCCTACAAGGAGGCAGTGGGTTCAGATGAGCAGCTTTGAGCTCCAGATGGGGATTTTTTTTTCTACAGATTCCTTATATTTCTTGCAAAGTGAACTTAATGATGAAGATCTAATGGCCCCCAATTATCTTATTAGATTTTATGTTTTACAGTGGCACAAAAAGCCTTCAAGGACACTGCCAAATGCTTCTCTTAGGTCTTAATTTTGATCTTTTTCCCTGTTTTTCACTATATTAATTTGCAGGAACAATATTATCAGTATGATAGTTGATGTTCATCTTACATTATGCTCATAACTATCAGGGGAAGCAAGAAAGAGCAAGCATATAGACCAGAAAGAGTTGCTTGGGGTTACACAGCAAGTCCTTGAAGAGCCAAGAACCCCACTTCCCAACAACAGGATTTACCCACGGTGAGCCCTTAGATTTGGTACTGCCTCCCTGATTTAATCACTTTTCAGCAAATACAGATTTCTCTGGATCCACTTAGTTCACATTTTGCTTATCCAATTACCACTGGGAACTTGGGGGCGGTCAGTTATCAATTTACTCCGGTGTTCAGAAGCTTCCTGCTCTAAAGTCTGTTGTGGGGCACAGCAGATCATCTTTGTTAACTGCTCTCAAAGACAGGCCCAAATATTGCAAATGCCTCTAGAAGGTCTTGTGTCATTTCTTAAGTTCATCTGTGTCATGTAGGAAGGGGAGAGCAGTTGCCAGGTGGCACCAGGTACTCCAGTAGTAGACAGGTGAGGAGTCTAATAGAGGAGTGCCTCTGGGGGCAGCTAAGTCTCAGAACACAATGCTCACCAGTGACACTGGCCCATCGTCATGCAGCACAATTTGCATGGAGAGCCACTTAAAGTCTGAGACCGGTTGTGACTGTGCTTCTAAATGGGCACCCATGTTTGCTGCTCTCCAGGGAAATGGCTCTGGGAATGCACCTTAAGTACAGCTCTCTTGGACTTGTGGTCAGTGCTCTCTCAGGACCTCTTTTCCAGCACCTCTGAGCTACCACCAACATCACTGCACTACCCAGATTCCCTCAAGAGACCTCTCGGTGGGAGGACAGCCTCCTATACTTCTACCATTGAACTGGGAGTATGATTAACTCCTTTATAAAAATAAAACAGCTCAACCTAAATTGATCTTTTATAGTGCTATACAGAGGGCAGGACCTCCTTTAAAGATCCTGCTGTCCCACACTATACTCACCTCTGAACCCATGAGATATTAAGCCCAGTAGGGACCTGGCCGGGCAGCTTTCCACTTGGCTTGCCACACAGCCTCTCCCCTGTGTATTTCGAGAGGCCTGCTGAGAAGCATGTATTCGGGAAGTTGGCCTCCAAACAGACGGTTGTGATCTCCCTCCCTTCACATGCTTGTTATCTTGCATTTGTGTTCATTCCCACCCCGCCTTGTTGGGGACTTCCAGTAGCATAGAATTGGATGGGCTTAACATACCACTATCCACAAACATGGAGCCTCAAGAAAAGAGTCCATATTTGCAGACTCCCCAGGCAAAAATAAGGGCATTTGCAATCCACCAAAAAAAAAAAAGGGTATGCTACAAAACTGATCAGAGGATAGGTGGCCTGAAGGCTGCTCCAGGAATTCATTGACTGTGTCTCTTAAAGATACTTAATGGAACTTACTTTAGCCCTGGAACAGAGCTTTAAAAAGACACTTCCCTTGGTCTGCCTGCAGCATGCCTAAATCTCTGCAGTCTTCACAGGGTGATCAACCAGTCACAGAAGGAAGGGACTTCAGGTCTTTGGCCCCATCACTTCATGTGAAAGAAAGGCAAGGCCTTCTCATTCTTCCTACCCTGCCAATCTCATTTAAGAGAATGGGAGGCCAGAAGAAGCAAACCACAGTTTCCCAAGGGAGTGGAGATACATTGCAGCTGGCTAAATTCCCAGCTTACACATGGAGAGCATCCTGATGGCCAGAAGTGGGGTGCACAGGATGGCAGTTGCAGCTTTGACCTTGCTGCAGTCTTAGTGACATGTTCTGCAAACCTGCAAGCAGGAAGTCCCTGCACTGCCACTAGCTGGGGAGCTCTGCCTTTCTGAGCACAGGACAGGAGCCCAGGGCATGGCACCAGTCCAGCAGGCAACCCAGAGAGATGCAGCCCAAGGACCACTTGAAACCTTTTAGACCCTAGAGTATTCCTCCCAACCAAGGTAAGCCAAAAAAGCATTGCTGTCTTCAGTGGAGTCAGCAAGCACAGCAGAGAAGGCTTTCGTGTTTTAGGGGGAGGAGGGCAGACTTGCAAGCTCACCTAAACCAACGCCCCCAAGGCAGACTTCAGATTTCATTTCACCCCACAAGGAGACCGGCATCTGCCCATGTGGCTTAGCAGACTGCACAGTTGGAACCCAAATGCATCTCCAGGTGCTGTCACTGATTGTCACTCTGCTCTCTCCATGGTTTAGCTTTGATCACTGTGTAGCCCGCAGCCTGTCTTGGGTAGTAACTGATACGAGCAAATCAAAAAAGGCACACTGTGCCAAGGGGACTCATCGGGCAGCTTGTGAAGGTCCAGGCCACTCAGCTCCAGCCTCAGAGTCACCTGCAATGAAAACCACTTCTTGCCGTGAGGGATTCAGTGGTCTAGATGGGATTTCTTAAAAACTAAAACCAGTGATTACTCTCTGGTTTGTACTTTCACAAAGGAAAGAAGTCAAAATTTCACAGCAACAAAAAGGAAAGGAGAGGGGTGTGTTTTTAATATCAAATTGTGGCCATCAACGTTTTCACTGACCTTTAGTAACTGGCTATTTTATTTTGAAAATCAGGGTTCGATCAGCGAGGTCCAGAAACCATCTCATTATACTCAAGGGCCTTGATGCTCTACCTCAGGAATCTCGGCTCTGGTGAGAGCCGGGGTCGGGGAGGCATTGTGTGAGACACACCGGTTGGAGCACAGTTCCCAGAGGCCCAGGTGGCCTGTCACAGTCGCCTTGTGCTACCAAAGCACTGAGCAGCCAAAGCCACCAAGCAGGGCAGGCAGGGAGAGCGCCAGCAAGCCAGCACCTAGAGCTCCAGGCTGTCCCCCTGTGCCGTCTCAGCTGAGGCTGCTCTCCTGCCTCCTCCAAGAAAGCCATGCCCTAGGGAGGCCGCTCAGCCTGCTAGGACCCAGCAGAGCACTTCCATTGAAAATAATGGAAATTCACATTGGCGCACTTTTGATCCTTAAGAGGCAAGTCTCCTTTGATCCTTGAAGATATTCTCTCAAACCAGGAGGACAGGTAGGGTGGGGAGGAGAGAAGTTTAAAAAGCAGGATGATCCATTTCATCAAGCCAAGAGGCTGGGCTAGTTGGAAAGTCGGGGTAGCCTACACTGCTTCCTGTGGAGATGTCAGAGGTGGGTCCCCCAGCCATGGCTCTCAGCGTCTGGCTCACGCCCTGCCCTGCATGCGCAATGATGCCCAAATTACTGTCCACCGTGTAATCCAGCCCATTGAGCAAAGGAGCGTGGGATGGCAGGGACGAGATGGAGGATGGAGACTGGGGGATTCCATAGGGACTCCCATCCCTCAAGTCCTGATAGGATTGTCCTGTCCCGTCCATGGAGAAGTTCCCATTCATTAACTGTCCACCTGTAACGTCCCCCACGTTGCCATAAATCCTATTGGTGTGGCCAAGTTCTGAGAGAATTTGATCTTCTGTGGACAAAAGAATGGAGATTTATTGTCAGCTGCCAGGACTTCAGTGGTCTCTGCTCTTCACAACCTAGGAACCCTTGACTGGGGAAGATACCCAAAGGCAGCAGCTGTCTCTCTGCCAAGCAAGGGTCAGACAGCAGCCAATCCACCTGACCTCCAGGGACCAACCCAGGTCAAGGGGCAAAAATAAGAAACACCTGCAGAGACCAATTCTAGGTCCCAGAAGGCTGGACATATATTTGATGAGCTTGTTGGCCCCGTGTATCTGGTGTACTAAAATATTCAGGCAACACTCAGGAGTATGAACACCCCAGGGTTGGTGGGTGGTGTTATCACAAGTGACAAATATGTGCTGCCAAGATTTACTCTAAAAGCTTTCAATGAGAAAAGTGCTTAGTTTCATTGGCTGGGAAACAAGCAGGCCCGTAGGATAGAACTAAGCTGGGGACCTTGCTTAGACATGTGTACAAAATCCTTCTGGTCTACCCAGAAAGGAGGTTCAGTATCAAAGGACTTGGCTTCTCTCTATTCAATCAGCTCTTCACTGGGGGCAAAAATTATTTAAGGCCACTGGACCCTCTCGTCTCTTGAACCATTTTATTAAGGGGATCTAGTGCAATCTTTACCACATGAAAGAATTCATCTCTCCAACAGAGGCCAGAAATTTTAGCCTTAAGAAATAAAGGATTTTATAAATGCCCAGAGAGACTAATGCTATGTCAGTCTGGGACCCATCTGCACCCAACAGGAATGCTTTAACAATACTGGATTTCAGGCGTGGATCTCAACAGCTCAGATGAGATTAGGTGACTTTCCCAATCCTGCCAAGTGGACAGGTGAGAACGGGGTCCTGGGCCTTCTGACCTGTAGGTCTCAGCAGACCTCCCGGCTCAGCCTCAGTCCTCTCAGACACTGTGCGCCTCTAGGCCACTATTCCACCCTCTGTCCCACAAACTTCTTCCGCTTTTCCACCTGGGCTACACATCAGTTCCTGTAAGAGGCTATTCAAAACCCACCCCTCAGAGACCTCCCATGCCACCCGTGAAAATGTAAAAGCCAGGGGCGAGGGAAGGCTGATGTCCTTCAAAGGGAGCAGGACGCAGAAGGCTCAGCTCCACTCTAAAATGGCCATGATTTGGCCCTTTGGCTATGGGAGCCACTGGCTCCCGTAGGGACAGTCACACCCTCCCTGAGTACAAGTGCTTAGCTTTCCCCCGGGCACGTCGACAGCTGGTGTGTTCACTGAGCCCAGTGACTGAGATGACATGCGGGGGCACTCCCCATTTATAGATGGGAAGACAGCCCCTCATGAAAAATGAGTGACTCTAATAGAGGCACCCTGCCAGCCAGGCTTCTGATCAGTGTCCTTGCCGTCCCCAACAGAAGTCCTTCCCCATTTGCGGACTCGGTAACTGAGAGCAGGTAGGGTTATTTGTGAACAACCTGGGGATCCACGTGTGCAGTAATTTGCAATTTTGCTGATGCCCCAATCTGAACAGAGCGCATGCTGCGAAGCTCGTGTGCCGGGTCGGGAGGAAGCAAGTGCCCCGCTCACATGCACTCACAGCAGTGATCTCCAGGAAGAGGCCTGTTGAGCGTGCTTCCTGTCACCAGGATAGGAGGACGGGGTTCCTTTAGGGGACCATAGAAGGTGGCCAGTGTCCCCACAAAAGGGAGAGGTGCAGGAACAGGGCTGGGGCAAGCGCTGAGATGCAGCCCTCTGTTCACAGCTGGGTGGTCTGGTGAGGGCACCCCAGTCAGCAGGAAATGAGGGGGACCTCAGGGCCATGAGTAGGGCCTGGCTGCACCCCACGGACCTGTTCCTCTCCTTTTCTATTCCCTGTCCCGCCCTGAAGGGCCCTAGCACCTTCCCCACCCTTTACTGAGGCCTTGGGAGGGAGTGGCCAAGGCCTGAAGGAAGAGCCGCCTGTGAGCCAGGGCCTACTGTTCCCCATCTCCCGTGGGACCTCGGCCTCGCCCCCCCAGCCCTGCTCACCTCGGAAGCTCAGCTCACTGTCACTAACCCCACAGTCCTCTGCCGAGCTCTCCTTCTCCTGCTTGCTGCCTCCCCGGCTCCTCTTGACGCTCTTATAGAACTGTCCCCAGCGATGCCGCCCTGCGTCCTTCTTCAAGCGTTTCTCCTTGGCCCTCCTGTTCTGAAACCAAACCTGCCACAAAGCACAAGGGACACAGGGGGAGTGCGCTATCAGCCCAAGGCCTCCAGGACCCAAACGCAGGTGGCTGGAGACAGACTAAAACCTATTCTCCTGCCCCTGCTCTCTCCAGCCTGGGCCTCTGAACTCCGCCTGAGATTCTGGCTGACACCCCCAGGGACTCGGGGTCACTGCCCTGAGCCCAACTGCCCATGGGGATGGGTGATGTCACACCAGTTCCTGGCTCTGGTCCCTCCCTGCCAGAGGCCCAGATCCCCAGAGGGCAAAGGAGGGCTGGCCTCTAACCTGAACCACCCTCATGTCCAGGCCTGTCTCCGAGGACAGCTGCTCCCTCACGTGGCGCGCGGGTTTCGGGGAGTTCTTGTAGGCATTCTTTAGCGTCTCCAGCTGCTTGGCTGTGATGGTGGTCCGCGGCCGCTTAGCTCCAGCCTCCGAGTCATCTGCAATGGAAACCACCCCTTACTGGATCAGCAGGTCGGAAGCAGCTGGGCCTCCTCCTTCCTTCCCCCCAGGTAGGAGAACACTTGCTCTGTGGAGGGCTGGGGAAGAGGGCGAGCATCACCACGGCGTGGTCCCCACCCCTGCAGCCTCCACAGCACTGAAAGTGAGGTGCACTGCCCCCATGTCCCTGGCCTCTGGCTCCCCTCCAGAGCCTCCATCTCCCCTGGTCCCACCTCATGGCCTCTGCCGTGGCCTCCCTGGGCTCCCAACTGGGGACAGCCTGCCCCTCACTCGCCGTCCAAGCAGTGTGTATGATCTACAGGTCAGAACCCACTGGTGGCTTATAAAGTCCATCTGGTCAATCAAAACTAAAAGAGGAAACAGGATGAACAGACAGAGCAGTGTTTCATGAAACTGGTTCACTTTCCCTGTTTGAATGTGCGCCCTGAGTTGAAATGTGAAGTGAGCTTCTCACAGTGGATCTTAGTCAATATTTTTTGAAAAGCACTGAGTTCCGGAGTGTTCCAGGTAACGCACTGGTCAACACAGAGTGTTTGATGGGTTTTGAATGGAAGAACCTCGAGTCTCTGCTAGCTAAAGGCTGGTTTGTTCCATTCCCAGTCAGGCACAGAGAGGCAGCGGGTGTGCTCAGTACCACACAGTCGTGCAAACAGCTTGCCGCCTCACCTGGGACGTGGGCACAGCTCTCCCACTCTGCACAGTGGCCCTGGAGGACACTAAGAATAAAGGCCACTGCAGGCTCCTGGTGGTCTGTGCCCCTCACATTATACTTCAGAGCCTCTGCTACATTCCTGTCCTCTTCCCTGCCTCTTCTCCTTTAAGAACATTCAAGAAAAACCTCTTAGGAACAACAATAATAGGCAACACTTATTAAGTACCTTCTGTGTGCCTGGTTCACTACAAGCTTTGTAGGCAGTCAGTCCCCACAATTCTAAAAGGTTCTCCAAGTAGAAGACCTAGGTGCGGCCTTCTTGGCCCTGGGCAACTGACCTGGCAAGCAGCCTCACCGTCGGAAGCCTGGGGAGCAACACCTGCCCTTGGGGAGCATGCGTTCTAGGGGGTAAGCAGTGGTGCAGCTGGGGCCACAATACATGCACACACACAGCACAGGGTAGAGGCCCATCGTCCTCTCTCCTCCTTGGGCTGTTTCCCAACATAAGCCACTGTCATCCCAGAACCATCCAGAACCACTCTCACCCGTCTCCCTCCCTGGAGTCCAGGACCCAAGGCAGGGGTGCAGGACAGAGCCCCCATGTTTAGAGAGTAAGGCCAACACAGACAACCTCCACAGTTTGTGAAATTCTAGAGTTCAGCATGACGTTGTTTGATGCAAACTTGAATTATGCATATACAAAATAGTGTACTATTTTTTTTTAAAGAGAGAGAGAACTTTTAATATTTATTTTTTAATTTTCGGCAGACACAACATCTTTGTACGTGGTGCTGAGGGTCGAACCCGGGCCGCACGCATGCCAGGCGAGCGCGCTACCGCTTGAGCCACATCCCCAGCCCCAAAATAGTGTACTATTAAAATAGGTATAGAGTCTTCATGGATAGACTTTTAAATAATAAAACTATGTGAGCCGGGATGGTGGCATATGCCTCTATATAGGACTAGATATAGTCCCAGCTACTGAGGGCTGAGTGGGAGGATAGCATGGGCCCAGGAGTTCAAGATCAGCCTGGGCAACACAGTGAGAGCCCGTCTCAAAGAAAGAAAAAAGAGTTTAAGTCGGGGGGAATCACTTAATTTCAAAACAGTCTTTCCTAGTGAATTAGAAATCATTTCACCACTGCAGACAGCAGCACCCCTGGGGTTTACGTGTCACCCGCGTTGGTGGCCTTTGGTGGCGCACCATTGCTGTGTGTTCAGGGCTTTCTTCTTGTGATTACGGGGACTATTATGCTGTTATTTTAACATTCACTGTTATTATAATTTAAAATCTTTTTTATATCCTATAACAATGTCATCCAAGTATTCATTAAGTAGTGGCAGCAGTGCTCGTGCTGAAAAATGTACCCGAAAATCAATAACTTTGGTGCGGAAGTTAAATGTGATAAAATGCTATGAGGAAGGCCAAGGGACACCACGATACCCCCGGCTGTTAATTTAGGAGAGAGCCTGGGGCACGGTACTAAAGGTAATGCTGAGAAAATAAAAAGTAACATTAAGGCGGAGATCTCCTTCACAGGCTGTGGATCTGTGTGCTGGCAGGGGCCCCTCCCCCCCAGGTTGCATTAATTCCTAGGGGAAAATTAGTCTCGATGTATGTTAGCGTTGAATTATGCAGGGTCTCCTAGAACTTATCCCTGATATAAAATGCACCCTCATTATTTTGAAAATGCAGATATCCAAGGAGATGGAACAAATGAACAAAATCATTCATACTAAGGTGCAAATAGCTGATATATTAGATCCTTTGTTTAGCTCAAGGTAGGAAATTATAAGCCTAAAAGAAGACTTAGGAAGATAAGGAGAAATCACAACACATTCAAAGGCAGACAAATGTCCTCTGCTGCACCAAGGACCACCCGGCTATCCCAGGATGGAGCGGCTTCGCCTCCCTGACAGCCAGAGGACACCCGGGGAACAGGGCAGAGGTGCCTTCAGCTGCCTAAAACATGCCACACCTACCTGTCTGCATGTCTCACTCTTATTTAACGCTCCAGTTCACAGCCTCTTCCTGCTTAAACCTGGGGAGACAGCCCACAGAGGCAGCTTCTGTCCAGCCCCACGTGTAGCTGAGAAGCCAAGACTCAGCCAGCTACACACCGTCCCAGAGGAGCTCCCAGTTCTTGGGGACGCCCACCCCGCCTCTGATGCCAAAGCCATTGTCCTGCAGAGGAGTGCCCCACAGAGCAAACATTCTCCCATAAAATCACGAGCCCCACACGTCTTTCTTGCCTCCCCAGCTAGATTACGACCAGTCTGTGTTTGTCTCCCTCTTCTCTCGAACCACCTCAGCACCATGAGATGCCGGCCCGGAGGACTCAGGGTCTAACGAAGCAAGTCCCTGACGTGAGAACCGAGGGTGGTGGTGCTTTTATGATCTGTGGTGATGGGCATCAGGGTTCCAAGGGTGTCTCGGTGTCTTCGAGCCCATCTGAATCGGTGGCCTATTCCTGACCGGCCGCCCACTCTCTCGTGACATCCTACTGAACCCCAAAGCAACAGCGTGGAGTTTAAGGAACCAGAGCAGAGACCAGTCTTCAGAGGCTCTGGGTCTGTAGAGGAGGCAGATCAAAGTCCTCTGTCCACCTGGCAAAGCCAGAGGTGTGAGGGTCATGGCAGAGAGGATCCCCAGAGAGACAGGAAACCTCTGCCTTGGGCAACCCTGCCCCTCCCTTCCTCCCACCAAAGCCAAGTTTGTCCCAGCTAGTTCACCCAAGGGCCCCTGTGAGTTCCTCTGTGTCCTCGCTGCCACAAAACCTATTTCATCCTGCATTTATTAAGCAAAAGCCTAATTTCTCCATGTATCGATCAGATCCAGATAACATATGAGCCCAGGAAAGATCTGGAAGGAGATACATGAAACAGTTTTTGCTTTATTTGTTTATTTCCATCAAGTGCAGACCTATCAATAGGACTGCTTTCCACTGTGGAACCCTATATTGATAAAAATTCTAGGTAAAGGCAAAAGGCCTTGATGTTCCATGAGTTTGTGCATCTGAGATTCCTAGGTTGGGTGTGACCAAATCCCAAATTCAGATCTGGAGTAAGACACCACCACCCCGTGGGTGTAGCTTGGAATGAGAAGCCAGGGGTGGGGCTGCAAGAAGGATGGAGTCGGGGTGGCCTTCCTGAGGGGAGCCAGTCTGAGCCCTGTCCAGCAGCTGGAGAGCCCTTAGACTGCCCAAGAACAGGCCAGGGAGGGCAAGAGCAGCCTGGACAGAGGTAAGGCAGGGTTCCCTGCTGATCTCAGCCTCCGCCCCACCGACGGGGCAATGGCCCTGAGGCAAGGGCAGGGGTCAGTTATGTTGTTGAGTCCCAGTTGCGTCATTCAGCCCAATGCCCAGGCACTTGACCAATATCAGGCCTTCAGAAACAGCAGGGGCAGCAGCCCTCAGTCCCTTCCCAAGACAGGAAACACCTGCAACGCAAGCCAGCCCTCAGAGGGGACAGGCCGGTGCTGGTCCCGCTGTCTGCAGCCTTTGAGGCACAGGAGTGCAGAGGTGAGTGCACCCCAAAGCCAACATTCAGGAGAACCCCAGTATCCACCGCAGACCAAGCTCCAAGACTGCCCAGGCAAAGAGGCCACCAAGAGGATGACAGAGGTCCCTGGCTGCTGGAGCCCGCCGTGGAGTAGGGCAACAGCATATCTCCACAGCCACAGCCTGATTCATGCTTCCACAAAGCCAGCGAGTGCAGCAGGTTAAGGGGACCAGAATTAGCTCCTGGGGCTCTGGAGGAGGAGGCCCAGTATTGAAGGGGCCCAGAGGCCGGGCAGGCAGGGCTCAGGGAGGAGGACACCACAGGCCGAGGGAACGGCCTGGCGGAGGCCTGGCGGGGGACAGTGCACAGGGCAGGGACACTTACCGTTCTGCTTGGCCGTCTCGTAGTCCTCCTTGCACACCAGCCGCCCATCCTCCATGAGGTAGAACTCGTCCCCCGTGGCCAGCTGCCGGCTGCAGATGATACAGGCGAAGCAGTGCAGGTGGTAGACAAAGTCCTGGGCCTTGCGGACCACCTGGGTCGGGGGGATGCCCTGCTGGCAGGCCGTGCATTTCGTGCCGAAGCGCCTGTCAGGGCAGCAGAAAAGGATCAGGGGGAAGAGGCATGCCTGTGGGGTATGCCCTCTCCCAGCCCTCTCCTAGCCCACCTCTCCAGTGTCCCTGGGCCCCCAGGGACACCCAGACCTCGTCCTCTGGGCCTCCAACTAGCTTCATCGCTTCAGGCTGGGCTCTTGCACCACCAGTGAAGGGGTTGGACCAGAGCTAGTCACTAATGCCTCTCCTGAGGCCGACATCCCTGGGCTCCACGTTGCCTGACTGACACCATCCATCATGCGGGCAGGGGGTGGGGTTTCTAGGGCCGTTCCTGGGTGGCTGTACCTTCCCCTCCAGGCTTCCTAGTCTTTATGATGTGGTCTAACAGGGAACCACATGTGAAGCCCCCAGAAGCCTCTCCCCAGAGCGAGAGGCCCCAAAAGGCCAGGCAACAGCACAGGTCCACGTTCACACTGGCACTCTGAGAAAACACGCCTTGTCAGCAGAGCAGGCTCCCCATCTCTCCCTCCTCTCCCTCCCTGCCGTGGTCCAAGGCAGGCCTAGCGAGGCACGCTTTAGGACCCTGCAACATCCCAGGGCCAGAGGTCTGCAGATATGTTTGGAAAACCTGCCGAAGGCCTCTCCTGGGTCTCTCCCTTTCTGGACCTACATCAAGGCAAAAGAAAGTCATCCACTGCCACCCTGTGCTGGGACTAGGAAGGGAAGAGAAGTAGACAATTCACAGAAGCATCCAGCGGGGTGCTGGAAGCCTCTTTCCCCATGCTGGCCACAGAGATCCACAAAGCCACGCCAGGGTCACCGAGGCCAGAGGGAAACGGGCCAGCGCCGTGGTGGGCAAGGAAGGGGTGCCTTGCAGCAGGTGAGCCTCCCCTGCTGGAGGAGGGAGGCGGCGGGGCTCGGGAAGCAGGGGCAGAGTTTAAAACAGCAATCAACCTAATTATTCATGACACTTCACACGGCAGAACTTTATCTTCTTCAGGATGAAAGACTTCGCCTAATGGATCTGGGGAAGGTTTGATTTTAATGGTCCTTTTAACTAATGCTTATAGGCAGCCTGATTTCCCCTGAAAGGACAGTACATATTTCATCCACATTAATACCAAATAAATTAATTATGGTCATGGCTATCATGATGAATCCCAGATTAATGCAGAATGATGGGTCTCTTAAGCAGCAATGATACCTGCTGGCGGGGGGCGGGGGCGGGGGCCTGCAACAGGCATGTCCAGCTGCAGCCTTGAACCACCCCCCACGACTCGGCATCCTGGGGGGAAGGGAGGGGTCTCCATGTCTGCATGGTGAACTCCCCAGAGCCAGAATGGTGACTGGAAGACTGCTCTTCTGAGACTGGAACAGAAGGGTGTTAGGGTGTGTCTGCAACAAGGCTTGGGACACCCAGGCTTCTGAATCCCTAGGATGTCCCTTAATTTGGTGGGGGATGTATGGAAGAGGCCTCTCAGAGCCCAAGTGCTCCACCTGAGATTCCGTACAGGCTTCATGAACCACCCTTCCCCAGTTGCTCAGAATCCTGCCTCAGGAGGCCGTCCAGGTGTGTGTCAGAATTTCAAAGGGATTCAGGACCCAAAAAAGTCAGTTCTTATTTGTTGAATAATGAAATCACTGAAGAAAGACCCCTGTCCTTAGAGGATGTACATGGAGTTGGGTGTGGTGCCACTTCCTACAATCCCAGCAACCCGAGAGGCTAAGGCAGGAGGGTAGCAAGTGTCTGAGACCCTCCTCAGCAATTTAGCAAAGCCCTGAGCAACTTAGTGAAACCCCGTCTCAAAATAAATACAAACGACTTGAGATGCAGCACGGAGGTAAAACACTCCCAGGTTCAATTCCTAGTACCAACACCCCTCCCCAGGAAAAAAATAAAAAGGAAAAGAAAGAAATAGAAGATGCGCAGGGAGAAAGGAGATGGTAGTGGATGGCCCGCTCAGGAGGGCCCTGCCCCTCCCAGAACACAGGGGAGAAACAGGCCCACCCCGCAGTGCTGGGTAACCTTGCCATCTGGGTCACAGGGAAGTAGCAGGCCATCTGCATGTCTGGGGAACAGAGAGAAAGGAAGCCTGCCTATGCGCTACTGGAGAGTGTTTCCAAAAGCCTGTGCCTTCCTGTCTCATCCAGGTCCATCCCCAAAGCAGGCGTGAGTTACCACGAACAGAAACTCCACCAGGTCTGCCGGAACCCTCCTGAGAAGCCACCCACATCTGCAGGGTGTGTCCAAACCCTTCGCTGAAAAGATGGGGCGGGGAGTGGCTCCAGAGAAGATCTAGACTTTCCCCCAAACAAATCCTCACGTGGAGGCCTGGGCAGAGGAGAGACCCCAGAAGAGAGTGGAGCCCTCCGGAAGCTTCTCCCACCATGGGACCACGCCTCTCCCACCGCTAAAAGCAGAGGGGGCTTTCATAGCTGAGCCCAGTCGACACCGGAGCCCAGAGACATGAAAGATAACGGGGTATAAATTCAATCTACAAACCGACAGTGATTCATGCGCAGGGGGCAAGTGCACAAGAAAAATGAAAAACAAATGGACTTTCCCACCAGCGTTTTTTAGCAATTGAAGCAATTTTCCTGATTGTGGGATTTATACCGACGGTTAAGTGGGAGTTGCTCCTCATTACCTTTTCTCCCTGGAGCACAGCCAACGGGCCCTTGCCAAGGGGGCCTCACGTAATCCTTGGCCCCCGGGTCTCCCCTGGCCTGGCCCGGCCCTAGGGCCACCCCACCTCTAGCCAGAACCAGTAGACCCAGACTCCCATGGTGTGGGGTGATGAGGACACTGTCCCCAGGTTTCCAATCTTAGACCAGCCAGAGTCCCAGGGAGAGATGGCAGGCCACACAACTGTCCTGTGACAGGCAATAATGAGACACCAGGGCCTGGTTGGAATTCCCAGGCCCCAAACAAGGTAAAACTGCTTCAGGGAGAACCAGATTCCAAGGATGCTGGGTGAGGGAGGAGGGGCTGGACCAGCCAAGGAAGCCGGCTTCTGGCAGTTTCCAATTTCCTAGGCAGCCCACATGCCATACCAAGTACCTACTGTGTGCAGGGCCCTGCCCTGTTGGAGGCTTAGTGAATACTGGCCTTGCTTTCCAGAAAGACATTCCAGCCACCCATCCGCCTGGCCAGCCTCTGGGGACAGCCAGACTCCCAAGAAAGGAGCTGGAGCTGTCCAAAATGATGACAAAAATGCAAAGAAGGGCTTGTGACGCCTCATGGGGTTATTTCCTCCTCTGACTACACCACTGGAAACCCTCTCTTATCCCTGCCCAGCACACAGTAGGCAAGCAACAAAGACCAACTGAATCATGGATGCGTGAACTCCTTAGTGCATGTGCCCGGGCAGTCAGGAGGGCCTGGCTCTGCACAGACAGCGGCGCCTTCCAGAGCCTCTGTGACGGGGGAGTGAGTGGCAGGTGGAGAGGAGAACAGCAGTTAGTTCATAACACACGGAAGTGTGCATCCCACTTTGCTGTCACCAACGCATTCATTCCACAAATGTCTCCCAAGGGTGATGCGTGAAACAGGTGAGGAACCGAGGCTCGAGAGGCCAGCCGCCGGCCCCAGCCGCACGGCAAGTGGGAGAGGCAGCGTTTGAGCTCGTGCTTCTGCTGTGGCACATGATGGGTGGCAAAGGCAGCCACATCCGCTCTGATGCCCACCCTAGACTGGAACTTGAGTAAAAGACCCTGTGCCCCTCACAGCCCCACCCCCAGCAGCTCTGAGCTCGGAGCATGAGGCCTCAACCCTGAGATGCTGGGGCTGCCATGGGGGCCCTCAGCACTGGGGAAGCTGGCCCCAGCTCACCCCGTTCCTACAGCTGGTACAGGCACGAGGGGCTGGGGAAGAGCTGGACATCACAGCCGGCTCTCAGGGGCCCCCTTGACCCTGAGAGGGGCCAGGCCTTGTCTCCTTGTCCACTCTCTTCAGGGCTTGGCCTGAGCCCTGTCTGTTGAGCTGTCCCCCTTTGCTGTCTCTGCAGGCCTGGCTGGGCCGCTCACCAATGCAGGGACAAAGGTGAGGAGGTGGGATCCAGCAGGAAAAGGGCAACCGACAGGCTCCACAGAGCCTCCTAGAACATGGGGCACGTAGACCACCGATGTCTGGCACGTTCCTGATTTGAAGTGCTGTGATCAGACCCTGGTAACCATGTTGTGGTTACTCAACACCAACTAAGGTCCCTGAGCTCTCGCTCACCATGTGCCCACTGTGTGTCCCACCCACTGGGCCCTGTGTGTTCGTCAGCCCTCAGCCCGTCACACTCCACAGCACCACTGTACCAGGTACTGGATGACCTGGCTCCTGACATCCGTCACTCCCGCTGTGACTCTGGGTCCAGTGCCACACAGACCACCCTCCCTGCCCTGCCCTCAGTCCTCTGACCTCTTCTTTTGAAGGTCACAGCCTCCGATCTTCACTGGATGGTCCTCCCAAGACCTGGGTAGGACCAAACTCTCCCTGCCACACCTCTGCTGGAACTTCCCCCTCCCACTGCTGACCACTGCCTCCTGCCCGCCTCCTCCAGTGCCCCGGCCCCAACCACTCAGGGAGACTGCGCTTCCCACCATGGCTGCCCCTGTCCCTCATGCCCGGGGCCTCATTTCCCCCCTTCCCTTGCACCCCTCGGCCCTCCTGCCTACCCTCAACTCCCCACACCTCCTCCCCAGCCCTGGGCAGCTGCACAGAGCTGAGGAAAAGCCCACCTGCCGCTGGGCTGCCTGAGCCCATGACAGCGCACCTGGGAGGCCACCTGACTGCTTCCCAGTCCTGTCCCTCTGCTGCCCCCAGACCCCTCCCCTCCAGGCCCATCTTCAGCTCCTGGGCCTCTCAGTTGGCAGCACAGCTTCCTGTTCCCCACAGTCCCCGGGCCCCCCATATGGCAGCTGTGGCTCTGGCTGACCTGGGCTTCCTACAGGGGGACCTCACCCCTGCCCTTGCTCAAGGCCCACCTGTCTGGGCACAGGGTGCCCTCCTCCTGCCTGACCAGCCTCCTCCCATCAGCACCCCG